TGATTACAAAAGGGATTTCTCAAACAAGGAACAGTCAATGGGCCTCCTTATCCTTCACATTGCACTTACTGCTTGAAGCCCTTATGACAAAGCAACATTTAAAATTTCAGAATCAAAAGACAACCTACTCCACTCCCCTATTTATAGCTCAATTTCAACTGTTTCATTCTTTCAAGCTTTCCTCCATCAATAAAGCAGAATTTTTCAAACTATAGGTCACAACCAACGAGTGAGTCATAGAATCAATTTAATGGGTTGCAGCCAGAACTGAAAATATCAAAGGGCATTGCACTTAATGACGGTAATTACGGCTTAAGTACTGTTACATAAAACTTTCATTTCAATTGTGCACATATGTGTATAATGCAAAACTTACTACTTAATATGAGTCATAGGCTAAAAAGGTTGAAATTCTCTGCCATAAAAAATTTGATGGGTTCACCAAGGAGCTAAAAAGTTTTCAGGAGACTAGTACAGAAACACCTTCAAAGTCAAAAAAAAAAAATAGATGACAATTTTATTTTATCATATTTCTGTGGAGTTTAATTATTCAGGCACTTCAATGCTTCAAAGATCAAATTTAAGAAATATTTATTCAACTTGCCTCTAAATTGGTAGGTGAGAAAAACATGTCCCTTTCTTTTAGAAGCATACAAAAGTAGGGTTCACCTATGAAATACTAGAGGATAACAGAAAAAAATCATAATCATGAGTCAAATTTCCAAATGCTGTAGGATTTCAAAAATCTGAATGATGGAATTAAGGAAAGTTGTAAGAAGATAAAACTTGAGAATAACCTTAAACAGAACAAAAGATAAGAAAATGCAGAGGAGAAGTTATGCTGACTACCCATATATAGAGAATCTCAGAGCTCAGTGGCATAACACAACACTGAATAACTTTACTCTATACAGTCACACTCATGTGTTTCTGATATCATGAAGCTACCATTTCCCATGGTGGCCTCAGGGTCCTCAACTGGATCTTCTATTGTACTGTATAGTACCTACACAGAAGTCCCCAGCTTAACAATATTTTAACTTCTGATTTTCCAACTTT